CTCACCTCCAAACAATGTCCAGAGCAGTGCCATGGATGCAAGGAGTTGTCCAATTTACTCTAGGCCTCCCCACTGACATAGCCGGGTTTGCATTAACATAAGACACACCCTAGTAATGAGAATTTTGTCTCTGGAAAGTGGCTTTACATCTTCTCCTAACATTACTGGGAAGCAGTCCGTATTTCTTACCATTCCTGTTCTTCCTTATAACAGACATAAAAGGAATAGCCCTCACAAGAACTATGTGTTTGGCAAGGCAGACAAATTTGACCAAGGACTGTAGCTTCTCCACACTGTACAAAATTATCTGCAAGGTGCTCCCTACCCTCAAGAAAGATGTATAGGAAATAAGTCATCTTAGCACCCCTCAGGCTTGCATCTTGCTTGTGCAACTTCAGCCTCTCCCAGTTTTTCATTATCTTGTGCTAATGATGCACTTTCCAGTTAATGAGGATCCACATGAAACAATGACCAATGATCCAATTTGTCACACTAGTGCTAACTTTACAAATTAATTTTTGGCAAGTCTAAGTCCTAAAGTACTCCTGAAAGGCACACAAGGTGTTTTCTCCCATTTTATAGAGACAGCAGCTAAAGGAAAGGCAGACTGACTTGCCTGCTATAAATGATCTAACAGCTCAGTGGCAAAGCTGAGGTTCGCCATTCTCAAACCAGTGCCTCTTACAGCACTGCGGCTGGATCCGCAAACACCAACAATGGGTTTAGGAGCCTCCCCAGCCTCCATTTTCCTGTCCACAGGGAGCAGAGAGAATACAACAGCCAGCTACAAAAGCAAATAAGTCAGCTTAGAGCAAAGACGAGATCTTGTATGCCCTACTTCACACCCTTGCATCCAGCACACACACATTCATGTGTAGCATAAACCCTTTGACTCATGACATCTATTTACGCCCAAAGCTTTTGGTAAACAACCCTGTGATGCTGTTGTAATTCACCTGGCCTGAGCAGTTGCAGCATCTGGATCTGTCCAGCAGCCTTGGCTATCTCTTCTTCCCAGGAAAAAAGGCTGTCGCTCCAAGCAGGGCTTGTTTTAAATGTTGTATGTTTTAAAAAAGCATAATAGAAGGTACACTCACCCAGATTTATTTAGGATGCCAAATCAAAGAATATCTGCTGGAGAACAATGAAAAAATAGCAATAAGTAAAGCAGATGACAAACCACTTCCACTAGCAAAATTTAAGAAAGTAGTTAGGACACGCAAATTGTTCAAAAGAAAGCCAAACTTTGTTTTGGCACATCAAGAGATTTTCCAGGGCTGAATTCCTGAAAGAAGCCAGCCACATTCTACCCTAGCTGCAGGGTAAAAAGTGGTTGTTCTGGAACAGTCCTACCTCAAATTCCTCCAGCTTGCAGCACTGTGCAGATGTGAGACTCCCTGCAATGCAACATATTCAATATGCTCCCTACAGAAGCCTCAGCCTCACACAGCTATCTAGTAGCTAATTGCAGTTAGAACTTCTTCCCCTCTCTCCCTCCTGAGAAGCAGTTTAAGCCACGCAGGCCGTTTCCTGGTACAGACCAGGCTTTTGCAGGCAAGTCTACCAATACAGCTCCACAAGCAAATTCTATGAAACCAAAATTGTGCTAGAATTGTTTAAATACCTCTCTTCCCTCCCTTTTTAAATTATTTACGGAGTTGCTGCTGTTTCATAACCCAGGACTCACTCAAATGAGCGTGCAGCAGGCTGACTCTGGTTGTACCAGTCAGCAGCACATGTTCAATCCCTATCTCCAACAGCAGATCAAAACTAACATGGATATACACCCACACAGCCTACAACCATCTTCTGTAGAGTGCCACAAACATTCCCGTGCTTCCCTCCAGGCTATCCTCACCTTGAAATTCATTCCAAGCGCCTCTGTAAAAGTCAGCCAGGCACAATTTTTCATGAACCACGCTTGTTTCAAAGAGAGAAATGGCACACTATGGCAAAGCTGCTGCTGGTGCTCCCTGAAAGGCTGAGATGTGAATCACCCCTTCGGCTCCAGAGCTGTGCGCAGCCCCAAACACTCATGTGTACCACAGATTATCTATCACAGAGCGACGGGTATTTTCCAGAAATGCAGGCTCTTGCTCGGTGGGCTGCATATCACAGTGAATATTTCCCTCAGTCCCATCTGCAATGACATGCACACATTACATAACTGCAGTGGGATTACCTAACCAATCACAGATTTGGCATACAGCTTTGTCACACCTAGGGCTTCAGTCTGGCCTCTCACGTAAGCAGAAGTGTCTTCATTTCACAGCTTTTAACGCAATCAACAATGTTGAGCAGATCCAAAACCAAAGCCTTGTACAGTCTACACAGAACTGTTCTCACAGTACGCATAAGAAATTAACTAGTCAAACAACACTAAAATGAGTACATATATCTTAAAGGCAAGAGCTTGTCTTTGCATACAATATATCATCTTCTGTTCAAGGACTGAAGACTAAGATTTGGATCCTTGAAAGCTCATTGCTGGGAACTGCAGGCCAATAAGCATGGAACTTTTAAGAATAGTGCTGCCTCATTTGCTATTAGCCGTGCCAGGAGGAGCTACCTGTAGCCCACTACCAGCCTGCATTCATAGGGACAGACAGTTCTGGCATCACTAGCAGAAATCTGGCACAAGAACTGACAACTGACAGAGATCAAGAAACCAGTACAGCTCACAAGGCTCTTGAAATAAACTGGAGCACTGATGTTTGCCTGTGTCTCCTGTAGGTTGTCAATATTTGTAAAGAGTTAAAATTCACCAGACCAGAAACTCAGTTCTGCAGTAGCTGTGAGTTGAGCAACATCATCAAGCTCCTCTTGGAATACCAAAGTAGAGAAACTTCTTTACCAGAAAGAAAATCTCCTTCTTCTTCTTTTATTTTAATTATTACTTAAATTAAAGACCATGCAAGACACTGTAGAAGACACGTCAGTGTACATCCTCTCTCAGGGTCTCACTTGTCACTACTTTCAGGATAATCCTGGTGGTGCTGGCAGGTCTGCACAGACTACTTGTAAGTTATAACCCACATTGTGACTTTAGTACCTGAATGTGATGAAGGAACATCCCAAAGGTGGCAACTTATTCAGGAGGCTGAAAGTCAGACTGGGGCAGGAAAAATTACCATTCATCCCTCCCTTAACTGAGATAAGTGTTTTTGAATAACAGCTTATACTGTAAGGCAAACAGGAAGCAACTTCAGAGAGTTACAATGATAAAATGAAGAGGAAAGAAGTGATTACTACAGTTCCTATTCTTGCAAGTTAACCACGAGTTGCCTTTCTCTTCATCAAGCCAAGAAAGCAGACAGAGAATAACCCCAACAGCAACTAACCCAAGAAACAGCCCTCCACTGGCACACAACCTGAACATTGCCACAAGAGGTCTGAGGCTGCAAGCATCTCTGAGCACCTAAGCAAGGCCATGCTCCTTCCCCAGTGCTCTCCTGTGCTGTGGTTATATGGCAGTGCTGGGGCACCCCAAGCCCTGAGGAACTGTGGCCGCAATAGTGCCTATCGCTGCCTCAGGCTCCATCTAGGCAGCTGGTCAGGCTCGTCAGAATGAAGCAACAGTTGCCTACAGCACAAAATACCATGCCGTCCCTCGGTTTTCAATCAGGCTCAGCTTAGGTCTTGTTAGCAGACGCATCTTTGTGAAGGAAGCGGCAAAACATTTCTCAGAACGCAGACTACGCGTTGCTGTCAGCAGCCCCGAAGAAGCGCCTCGTTGCCACACCACCGTGCAGGGATGCAGCATCTCCTGCCCTCCTGCGGCCGGACCTGCCCGCCGCCCTCCTTTCCTCAGCCGCCCAGACACCAGCACGCGGCGTTTCCACCGACAAAAGCGAGACGCAACAGAATAGCGGCGCTATGGCTCGTGACAGCTGTCCCGGGGAAAAAACAACAAACAAACAAACGGGGGAGCCGGAGGATGGGGAAGGCGCCGGCCGCTTACCTACTTAGCGCTTGGTAGGCACCGGTGTGCGGACAGAGGGCCGAGCTGAGTACCTCTCTAAGGCCCGGCCCACTCCACGGCCCCAGGCCACCGCCCGCCGCAGGGGAAGCCCGGCCCGGCCCGGCCGCCTCGCGAGGCGGCGGCGCGGCGGATGGGAGGGATCGGTCCAACAGCCGCGGGGGGAGCGCGGCTCGCAAAATGGCGGCGGCCGGGCGAAGCTCTCCGCAGCGGCGGGAGGCGACCGGAGCTCTCCCGAAAGCGCCTCTCGCCCTCGGGGCCGGGCCTAACGCTCCCCCGCCGCCTACAGCTTCGCCCCGGGGCGCAGCTTTTCCCCGCTGCGGGCCTCCTGCTCCCAGGGCCGCAGGCTCCTCGGCCGCCGAAGCGACGGCCTCTGCGGCCCTGCGCAGACTGACTGAGTTTATCTGCCCTCTCAGAGTCGTCACTCCGGGCTCGGCCTTGCCGGATAGCGGGGCCGGCTCCCCGCGTGGGGCGGCAGTGGGGGCTGCCGCCTCCCGATACCGCCTGGTGCCGGGCCTCGGCGCCGTGCACCGGGAGAGGCAGAGAGCCGAACCCCTGCGGGCACCTGTGCCGCTTGGGTTCTTTTTTTTCTTTCTAAGTACGTTATAATAAGGCAGAACAAAAAGCCACACAAATAGGTCTGCCGTACATCAGCATGGAAACCAGTCACGACTGACTTCCTCTTTGGTACTCTCAGAAGTTTGCATCAACGTGCTGAGTTTCCTGCAGTAATTTCAACTTTTTTTCTACCATTGTAGAGCTCAAAAACAAAAGCAGCCTCATTTTCCACATGGCAGCAGATGCCCAAGGCTGGCTCAGACAGTTAACTGCTTCCTTAGTAAATCCTAAATGCTGGCAATAGCCAAGGGTCCAAACAATGAAAAAGAGGATGCAGCTTTCTAGTGGTTTCCAATTTTTGACGTGGTTGAGGAGACAGCACTTGGAACTGCCTGTTTTCTAGGAATTCAGGCAGATAGTGCTGTCACTAAGGCAGCAAATTCACAGTTCTGTATCCCGCCTATCTTCTTCCATTGTTCATTTGGCCCAGACCAGCTTGTCTTGTTACATGTAGCAGATGGCTGACAACAGGTGTCCAAACTGGAAGAAGTCAACTTGTCCAGCAGCTGCAATGCCCACAGACAACATGCTGGGTAGTTTCCCCAGCAAACTGGAAACTTTGAGCAAAGAAGGACCACTCTTCTTCCTCTTTCAAGTAACATTCAGAGGAGACAAAACAAGGGCTGTTATGAGTGATGTGTTGGACATGCTTTACCCATAGTGGGTTCAATTTACAAGCTCTACTGTAAAAATACTTACAGGAAACTTATCAGAAACAAATCGCTATGTATTAACAGTATCAGTAGCAACAACAACTATGTATACAGTTGTATTAAAGGAAAATAAAAAGACCAGGAAAGGGTTAAAAGATCCCACAAACAATGCAGACAGGTATTTAAGTGTGTAGAGATTTCTCTTTCCTTTTAAATAAAAACATTAAATGCACCAATGCTGAATGAGATCATTTTTGTGTTACTGCGTTACAAATGCAGACTGTTAGTGCAAACCCAGACCACCATTCAGCAGCAGCGCTGACTCAGAAGTAAGCACCTACCTGCTCCCCACCTCTTGTTCCTGTTCCCATCTGATCCCCCCATTTGGCCAACACAAACTGACCCAAAGACCAGCCAGGATGTGCAAAAGATAGGCCAACAAACACATTTACCACTGCGTCATGGTAAAACCATTTGGGTAACATCTACCTCCATAACTTCAGGTTGAGAGTTTTTGGGGCAAACATTGTTCAGGGAGACACTTTTATTAATTAATTTGTTGTTAAATTTTTCTATCACCATACGAAGACCACTCAAATGGATTTGGATTAGTTCTTGGAAGTACAAAGTATAAAGGGATCTTTCTGCCTAGCACTCGTCCCTGTAGAAATAGCATGCCTTGGAGGGACAAGCTTTGGGAAGAAGCAAGGAATGCTTGCCAGACTGCAATAAAGAGTCATGTTAAGAAATTATACTTCCCACTCTCCTCTTTTTAAAAGGTCACTAACAATTCAACATTTAATAAAGTATTTAAATTATGATTACACTTCAGTACTTTTTGTTTGGTTGAATAGGCTGCTCACTGATTGCAGGTAATACCCATCAGCAAGCAAGCATGATTTTTCTCTAGGTCATGAGCAGTAATGGGAAGCTGGGCTGTTTCCATCTCGGTGGCCACATACACACTGCAGACCAGGAAAGTGCACTTTACCTGAGTCTGGCAGTTTCCCCTGGAGAACACTGAGGAATGGACACATGCAATTGTATTGTAATACCCAAGGTACGTGATGAGATGAAAAACAAACAAACACCACCAATAAAAAATGACTACAGAACAGCAGAGGACACTGCCTTGTTTGTTCAGCACCCTCTTTCCACTCCTACAGTGCCTAATCAACTTTTTATTTGAGCCACGTGTTCTCCCCTGCCCTCAAATATAGCTTTGATTTGAGTGGAGTCTCATTCTAACAGCTTGAGTTTATAATCATAAAATCATTCAGGCTGGAAAAGACCTCTGAGATCATCTAGTCCAACCACCCACTTAACACCAGTATTGCCCACTAAACCAAGTTTGTTGTCCCTACAAACTACATCTGTCCTTTCCTTAAGCACCTCTAGGGACGGTGACTCCAGCACAGCCTCCGGGCTGCCTGTTCTGATTCCTCACCACTCTTTCTGAGAGGAAATTTTTCCTAATACCCAGTCTGAACCTCCCTGGTGAAACTTAAGGCCATTCCCTCTCATCCTATCACTGTCAGCTGGAGAAGCAGCTGATTCCCACCTTGCCACAACCTCCTTTCAGGTCATTGTAGAGAGCAACAAGGTTTCCCCTGAGCTTCCTCTTCTCCAAACTGAATGATCCCAGTTCCCTCAGCCTCTCTCTTCTTGTCAAGGCATTTGTAAACTAAGGACAACAAAGAGGATTCTGTATCCCAGGGATGCAAAGCCAGGTTTTCCAGTAACTGTAAAAGTAAATTTAAGACTGAAAGCTGTCCCCAAAATCTACGTTTGATCCTGTCAGCATTCCCAAACCACACCTTACATAGCCACAAAATGATTTCCCCTTGATTTTTGTTCTGCCTTCACCTCAATCAGATGTTCCCGTCCACTTACAGGCCATTAAAGCAGTGAACTCATTTTGAATGGAAAAGGTAGTACCTGCTTTTTGACCTGGGCAGCAGCCCCAGCAGCGAGAAGCAGCCAGGAGCAGCCACTAGGCATGTCTCCCTGCTGGCCTGAAGCCTTCATCGGAGGCACTGCCCTCAGACAATAACATGTCTGGACCCACACTATGCAGGAAGCTTAGCCTTCTCTGTGACAGCAGGCTTAAGGTAATTTAGCTTTAAGGACCAGCAGTGACCACATGCAGACATACTTTCAAAGACACACAATTCTGAGCCAATTTAGGCAGATTTTCAGAGGACCAGAAATGTATCTTCGTACTAGATGCAAAGGCTACTTGGGTAAATCCCAAGCACTTGTTTCAAAGCTGAAAAGACTGCTGGAATACTTTAAAGAAAAGCCCTCAGGAATTTATTGTAAGCAATTGCTTTTTGCCAGTTTATTTCTGAAAACACTGAAGTCTTTTTTTTTTTTTTTTTTTTCCCCTATCTAGAAAGAGAGAGCACAAATAGAACCTGGACCCAAATTGCGAGGGGGTGGTGATAAGTAAAAAAACCCATCTTACATGAGGAAGCTTCAAAGCAGCACTCTCAACTGAAAATTAAGAACCAGCATCTCTAAATAACTGCTAAGCAAGTATTGCCCAGAAAGTGACTTTACCAAGAATAGATATGATTACAGAAGGTAGAAGATAGAAAGAATGCTGGTAAATGCAAATGAATCAGGATGCAATGTATCTACAAATCTACAAGTACAATCTCTGTGTCATTTCCAGACAGCTGTGCACCTAGTTTGCAACAGCATGGAAAATCTGGGCATCTTACTAACAAAGCAATTATAACAATGGGTGGAGAGGCAAACACTTCTTATGTAATCTTCCTATATTGAATTACAGGAAAAATACTTCCTCAATGCTCTGGATATTGAGAACAAGCCAAATTTTATGTGAAAATTGGCAGTATGCCCACAGATAGCGCACTAGTTCAGGGCTCAGTTTGCTGTTTTCAAGCATCTGTCCTCTTGCAGTTGTTCTTAGGACATTCTCAGGAACAACTCAAAACTTATCCATATCTAGATCATCTGATCACTTGCACTGTCTCACACAGCTACTGCAAAATAAATGATAGCTTACATCGTACATGTGTCTGGAAAGGTAGTTAAGCATCAAAGGCAAGCCAAGAAAAATGTATTCATAGAAAGACAACAGGCCCCAGGATTTCTTCTCTGGGAAGAGGGGGGAGTGGGTCATGGGGAAATCGGTTAACAGCCTTCTGGAGGAGAATTTCCCTCACTTCTGACACTTGGCAATCCCAGTCTCCGTGGTCCTGGGAACATTCTGATGCTGAGACCTAAAGAGCACTGTGCCAAGCACTGCTGCCTGTAAGCCTGAAGCTGGCCACCATAGAAGAGAGGAGGGTGTAAACAGAATGCTGACAGTCACATTTGGACACAAAGGAATCCTTGCATAACATTATTCCTCCTTCAGATACTTATTTATTCACTCACCTATGGTTGTGCAGCAGTATCCTTTCTCACCTGCTCTGCTTACGGAAGTTTATACAAGTGGTATTTTTGTGTGGCTATGTGTGCACTGGGATTGATGTTGCAAAGCCCACCTCTGCTGCACCTTGCTCACATCCCACGGTCCTGCAGCTGAGACATGGGCACCTGTTACTGGCACTTCAAATACCTATGGGTGCAACCGTACCCTTCGCAACACTGCACCTGACAGAAGACAATAAAAAGAGCTAACAGCCAGCTTGCAGAACATCAACCCAAAGCTTCAGCAATGTGTACACGTGTTTAAGCCTGGTGAAAGGAACTGACCTTATCAGCAAGCAAAATAAATGCTGTAAATAGTGACATTCACCTCATTAAAGCAAAAAGCGAGAAATAAAAGTTCAAATTATACTGCACTGAATTCAGTGGAATTCAGAATAGCTCTAGCTGATTTCTTCTGAAATAGCAGCATTGCTGTGTCTCCCATTAAAGTGGAAGATTCTGCATGCATACATTTGGTCTCGGGTATATCACCTTGGAGACTGACTCAGCCACAGAGGAACTTACAAGTTAACCACCCAGGCTGAAGAAAAATAACAAGAATATCACATAGCAAACGAACAAACAAACCACCACTTTAACAGTGTTTTTGAGTGCTTTACATGGAAGATAATTATCAAGTCTTGTTCATTTGTCTCACATACTAGTTAAAAGCATGCCTGCCATGCACAAAATCTTACAGTACATTTTACAATTCCATACATTCACAATGTTAACAGTAGGTGATGAAATAATTAAAAATATGATGTAAGAGCTACGGTCCTATTTGATCTGAGAATACTCACACACTCCTTTGGACATGTACAGCCTGTAATGCATTCTCAGTCACACCATACAGGTTCATCCTAACTCTTATAAAGAACAAAAATAACAACAATAATAAAACAGTTCTCCACATACACGTGAGCAAGTGTAAATATTGATTTGCTCAGGAACCTGTTAAAGCAGGATGCTCTGAACAAGTAAGCTCTTTCTGATATGGAATCTGCTGCACCTGTTTCTTATTCGGTGCGTGATTGATTTGGCAGGTGAAAGGAATGCAAAACTGACTGCTGCAACACAAAGGCTGAGCTCTGGAGATATGTGAAGAATATGACCCAAGTTTCTGTAAAATGTTCTGCACTTATTGAGTTCCCACTTGTGATCACACCATATCCCACATGTACAAACATAGTTTAAACATTATCCAAAAATACGTATTGAATGTAGTGCGTTATATTCCTTGATAGAAACCCAACAGTTTGTTCTCTTATTTCATCTCTATTTCATCTCTGCCACACCATTTTCCCTTTCTTGATCCCCTGTCACAAGCTGTGACAGGTAAGCCCTCTCCTTGCTGAGCTCTTCAACTACTGCAGATATTTTTCTCCCTGCTCAGTTTTCATACTTCTCTTTCTGTAATCTGTAGATTCTCCCCTATATCTTTTCCAGATTGCATTCAGCAGTTTGTCATTTCTTTTAGCTTTGTGGCCAGCATTTCATTCCTATGCTTGTGCGGATCTCATTCTGACTGTTTTATATTTCTCTGGCTCACAATGAGAAGCTCTTAATGAGAAGCTCTCTCTTAAATATTTGGGCAAATTCTTATTTTAATACTGGAATATTGTCAGGGTGGCTTCCATACAACTACGTGCTATTGCCATTTGACTCTATTAACAAACAAAAGATATTCGGTGCTTATTCTTAACTCCTTCTCCAGCTGCAGGCGAATACTTAGTTTGGCCCTAATAGCATGCCATTTTCAGGTTAAATTGAAACAGGGCAGAGTCACACATGTTGTTCTCTTGCATCATTTTTATGCCAATACCGGCATTTTACTTGCCTAAGAGTTGTGTAACCACGCGGGAGAATGAGGCTGTCTACGTCCCGAGTGAACTCCTTCCCAGCAGTCACAAAGCTCACGGTGCTCCTGAAGTGATGGACCACAGCACAGAGCACGCAATCACATTCCCAACAGCAACACGACAGGAGCACAGATTGCGAGCTGGGAGCTACTCGTGCTCCCGGCAGGGTGGCGGAGGCAAAACGACTCTCACTGACACAACACTCGAGTTCTGGCGTTGTTGTTAAAGCAGCTCTCTGCAAAGAGAAATTTAGGCCAAGCGCGAAGTGCCACCTAGCGCCGGCCTGGCCACCGGCTGCGAGGCACGGGGAAGGGAGGAGCTGAGGGAAAAAAAAGCAAGGTGAAACGCCCTGGTAAGGACGGCAGGGAACATCCTTGCTGTCACCTTGCTGTGCAGCGTGCCCTTCCATAAGGCACATAGCTCGGGCTGCCCAGGGCACAGCACTCAGCAGGCAGCATGGCTCCTGCACTGAGCTGAGTAGTTTTCAGTGTGGGGAAACCGCTCGCCTGGCCCACCTGCCTGCTGCCAAACCAAACACTCATGGAGAAGACTGTTCATTATATCATGCACTTGCACTTGTATCAGTAGTTGTTTGCAGCTTGGAAGAAACACGTCTGCAGTTTTCACCACTACTATACCAGTGTCCAGCAGTGTGTGGGCATCTCCTCACAGCACACACCTGTAAAATCAACGATAACACAACAAAAAACAAGAACCCATTTGGAAGGTAGATAGATGAAGGCACAGCAGCAGCCCTGCAGCACAGCTGAGACCACAGTGTATCTAAAGGACACCAGCAGCACGTCCCCAGCTTTCAGAAAGAGCCCAAGCTACTGGCAAGGAGGGGAAGTGAAAGCTGCTATTTGAAATGGAGAGAATGATAACAGTAAACACTCGTCCTTGTGCGACCACAATGCCCAATCAGGAGGTCCGTGGTCTCACAGACAGAACACTTTTGCCTTACAGTGATGAGTTGTGGCCTGGCTGCAGGGAGCAGCAGCGGTCCCAGTTGCAGTGAGGGAATCAGCAGCAAGGAGCGCTGTTACCACAGCCCCTGCCTCTGCCCTGATCTCAGGGGCTGCTGGCAGACAACTCTTTGCTAATCTGCTGCACTCTTGACAAAAAAGAAAAGGAAAGAGAAAAAAAAAAAAAAAAAAAAAAAAAGGAACTAAGGAACTGTTCCATATTCCAATTGAGGAAGGCATTTAGGCAGCTTATAACTCAGCAAGCCTGAAAAATAACTTCTTTTTGAGGAAGAAAAATGAAAGAATGGCCTAAACAGAGAGAAAAACATGAAAATTAAAAAGTGACATGTTGTAATGTGGAGTAGAAGGTGTGATTGCTACATAGACAGCCTTTGTGACAGGTTTCTGATTTAGATTTGTTATGTAGCTTCTGCAGAAGCTGTATCTTAAGCCACATTATGTGTTTTAAAATTGAAGTAGCAGTTACCTACTACTTCTCTGAAGTACCACTATCTGTCTCTCCATTGAGATGTTTTTGTTCAGTAGACACTGATACTGCACATGGGCAGCATTGGCAGCAGCCACAGAACATGTTTGCTGATCTAATCCAACTGTCTTCATGGCAGTCATCCTTTCCTCAAGAGCACCTCCACACCTGGGCTGCCGCTGAAATGTAGTATGTTATGAGCCTCTCTGTGAATACAGGAAGAAAAGATTACAGGACCATAACTGTTCCAAAAGACTGTCCACTAGCTCTGTTGAAATAAATAGCCTTAGGCATCAAAAAATTAACATTTAAATATGTTATCATCAGCTATGAAAAAAAACAGAATAAATAAATTGGTTGTTTTTTTTTTTTTTTTTTACATAGAAAAATGCAGATCGATTTCTCCATCCATTAGGAAGGAACTCACGCTCTGTCAGAGCTGAAGGATTCACACAGCTGTCACATTTCCTATCCAATCAAGCTGCTTCCTCATGGCCTGTGGGGCTGTAAGGCAGACAAGAAGTGTTTGGCCTCCATTGGGGGAAGTCATGAAAGGGTTGCGCAGCATGGGGCTGCAAGAGAGGGAGAGTGCACCAACACAGCCGTGCTGCTGCTGACTGGACCAAGGAAGGCTGTGCTAGAGGGCATCCTGAACACCAGACAGATGATGGGAGGGAGTTACCAAATAAACACCTCCTGAGATACAGTGCAGCATTACTGATTTCTTTCAGTGGTTACAGAAAGATGAGGAGCATGTCACAGAGTTAAGCACCAACTTCTCCATCCTCCTACAGCACGCACTGCCCCACGGTGTCTTTTAGATCTGTACATGTGTTGGTGGGTACAATCTCTGTGCTGAAAGGCTTTTACTGATCCACATCAGTAACAGAAACTATTTGTATCACTGCAAAATCTACAGTCTGGAGACAAAGTGCTATTCTATTGCTTTTATGCTTCATCAAAGTTAAAGATCTGCATGTTACGTGTGGAGAAGCTCACAGAACGAGCTGCACAGATACCACAAAGGCGTAATAAGCAACAAGGTACAGAAAAGGTTTCCGATGCCCCTATCTGCTCCGCAAAATGTTTCTTGTGACATCTCTGCAAGAGGGAGCGGAGCACAGGCACAGCTGTTTGCAGACAGCATAGAATGCCTATGGGGAGAAACAGCTTGGTTTATAACAAAATAACTTCTTTGGCTTTAAAGCCGGCAAGGGTGCATATGCACCAACCCGTCTCAGTTTGGCAGAGCAAGCAGAACTTCTCCGGAGGGTTACAGTGTCCTGACAAGTTAAAGGATAAGCTCACTTAAAAGTGTAAAGCAGTTTCATTATATACAAAATAACATTCATAGGCACTCTAAGAGTGCAACTGAAAATGAAACATCTTGGTACGAAGCTCACATCATGTTACATATTTGGTTGCTTTTCAGAGAACTGTACCATAGCTGAAGCAGCTGTTAGGAACCACTTGTTATAATGGCTATCAGACAGAGAAAACCCAACCCTGGAGGGTTCTGTTTCGTTAGCTAACCTAAAAAATACATAATTGTTGCATACACATGTTTGGAGCAACGTTTAACATCTAAACTGATAACGGATTGGCCAGGACCAATTTGCTAATAGCAATGCACAGTGCAGCCAAACTGTAACAGGGCAGGATGGCTGTGGGAGACGCTGAGCCAGTGCTTGATCCTTCCTGCAACTGGAGAGCATTTCCAAGCATTAAAAGTATACTGGTTTTTGTTTTGTTTGTTTTTGTTTTCTTTTAAAAGCAACAGTATTCTTTTTTTGAGTTAAATGGAGGAAGGGCTGCGCTGTGTTATGGCTCAGGTCAGTTCCTTCTTCCCAAAGTCAAGCAAAACCCAGAAAGAGGCATGTTTCCTTTGACTGAACCCAGAAGAGGTGGTCCTGCTAGCTGACCCTTGGGTTCATACCTTTGGGTCCTGGTTCAGGACTGCTGCAGCCAAGTTCAGCCTGCAGAACGAGCTCCTCCGCAGCCCATGTACCCACAGCCTCCACCCCCTTCGTTGTCCTGTTACCCACACAGCCCAGGCACTGGTGGACCTTTGAATACAGATGAGCCATGGCTTTCTGTGGCCTCTGGAGAACGCAGAAACCTCTGTCCCAGCCAGTCTGTAAACTGAAACACCAACAAGTGGTCCTCATGGCTGCCAAAGTACCCACAGCTGTGCAAGAACGAACCTACGGCTAAGCCTGGCGAGGTCAGTGAGTTTCTGCATGGAGCTTTTTAGATCAGGATTTTAAATGACCTTTCTAATTTTGAAGGAGACACCAGAACTGTGGCCTGAATTGGAGCCTTCTTTGGACTTCTACCAAAGAGTCTTCCTGGGTTGAACCTGGTTCAAATCTCCTGAAAAGATGAAGTACAAAACCAAGAACAGGGCTCTAAAATCAAAAGGAAGGTTTCATCTGTACGTGATATACTCTGGAAGCATCTTGGCAAGAGAGTGGAGATAACAGAACTGAGGTTAACACCAAAT